GCGCGGCCTGGGAGGGCGGACCGCGGCGGCCCCGCCGGCTTCGCGCGGCTTGGCTTGCTTTCTCTGCTCGCTTGCAAACTGCCTTCCCCGCCGCTGCCTCCCTCCCCGCTCAGTTCTCCCGGTGCCCGCGTTGGCGGCCGTCCACCGGCCCCGGCCCCGCACCAGTCCCTTGCCTTGCAGCCGAGCCGGGAGTCGGCATGGGGGGAATGCAAGCCAACTCCTCGGCTGGTTGTTTTATTTTCCCTTTTCTTTTTGGTCATAAAGCCAGATGAAGTAGCGTGTCTGCAGTTTCTTTTGAGAGCCGTGATCTTCCCAAGGAGAGACAAGAGTGTTTTGGGGAGGCTTCGCTTGCACGGGGGGGCGGGGATGTTGAATACTTTGAAAATTATTCTTTCTTGGTTGTGAGTCGAGGCAGTCGGGAACCCGGGTGCGCTCGGTCTGCCCAGCCCGAGGATGGAGGCTTGAAGGCGGGACAGGGATTTTGGGGGGTGAGCGGGAGAGGGGTGCGCGGCTTTTTTTTTCTTTTTTCTTTTTTGCACCTGCGGCGCTTTCAGCGTGCAGGACCCGGGGGGATCTTGGCCAGCCCGTCCAGAGCTCCGGGGAGGTGGCGGGATTTCTGGCGCCCGCGGTGTTTGTATTTTGGGTGCTGCGTGACTGTGTTGGCTCTCAGCGGTAGTTCCCCTCCCTTTCCTAAATTTAATTTCATTTTTACCCCTTGGTGCAAGCTGTTGTAAAAAGGCAGCGATGGGCCTGGGTATAGCGGATTCCAGGCTTCAGATTCCCAAGGTCCTTCTTTTGGGCGAAGGAATGAAAACAGAGCCCCAGTCCGCGTTCCTGATGTGAAAAGACCAGGGAGGGAAGAAGGGCACTTTGTGACTCTGGCTGGGGGACCCCGGACGGGAGGAGCGGGTGCGAAAGGGAGATCTTTGTGAGTGATTTTGCAAAAACAGATTGCGAGGTTGGTTGGATTTGCAACCTGTGGCTCTCCTCGAGGGAGTAGGAATGGGAAAAAGCGGCGGCGGCGGCCCGGGGCGGGAGTGGGTTGTGAGTTGGAACCTGGGAAATTGGCTGCCTGGGGGGCAGCGGGAGCTAGAGGCCAACCCTGCCGGAAACAGTGAACGTTAAATGTCTTGAGAACTGTGGGTTGCGTTGCCTTTATAATACCGTGTTATTGGAGCCCTGGCGAAAATGGAACTAGTGTTGCAAAAATGAGTTTTAAAACTCCCCCATGAAAAAACAACACCAACAACCAACATTTTGTTTTTAAGAGTAAAATAAATAACCTCTGTGTTGTGCTCTCTCCCGTAGAGATTTAGTTTTGGTGCTAGGGATAGTGAGAAATTACCTCAAGCCTGGTGCTGGCCGTCTAGAGCTGTTACAGGGTCCTTGGGTGCAGCAGAGACAAGCCTTGCATCCCACCTCCTTAAAAAGTGATGTTTACCTTTGTCTCCCCCCAAGATTGTATAGTTTTCAGGAGGAAGATATTGCCAAGCCAGTGTATGCATTACTATCCACAAAAAGAAACAGCAAAAAAGAAAAGAGGGAGGGGAGCAAGAGAGAGGGATCTTCAGAAAGGACTGTTTAGAAATAGAGTTTGTGGCTCTGAGCTACGCCGCTGGCTTCCTCTGCAGTTCGCTGGTTTCCCTTTTCCTTTTGCGAGGTGTTGTGTGTGGTTTTAATAAGTAACTTTAAAATAGGGGAGGGGGCAGCGTGACCCATCCGGAGACGGCTATCTATTTTGCTCACTATTTGCTACCAAGAGCCTTTGGCACTTGAACAGGACCTCGTAAATCTGCAGCCCAAGTTGAAGTTCATCTGGCCCTAGTCCACACGCTATTCCTGGAGGTAGCAAACATGAGCTCAAAGGAGTGAGGTGAAATCATACTCTTCTTTATGTACCGATTTTAATAAAAAGGAAAGAGATTTGTCCCCGGGGGAAGAGGAAATGGCGAGAAAACACCAGGGGATAGACATTTCTCTTTCTAAAATGACTGCAGTGAAGTCCTGGGGCCAAAATAGAAACCTGTAGATAGACAACCCCCCACCCCCATCCCCGTTTATAAATAGAAGTTTCCAGTATCCTATTTGGAAGAATTTCTTTTCTAATACTTTTAGGCGTTGAATGATTGTAAGGGTCTGTTTGGTACCCACAATAAGGCTGGGTGCTGTTCAGGACAACTAAGTCAATGGAGGGGAGAGACCGTTCGGGAAAACGGGTATTCACGCATTACCTTGTTCTTCTCCTCAGTTTTGAAAGGTTTACAGCAATATTTTCTTGAAAAGACTAATTTATTCTGGGCTTGGTGGTCAGGAATGGCATCCTAGATTTCTAAGTTGTCGTTTACTGAGCCCCGAGGAGGAGTTCCAGTTATGGGTTGAGTAAATGCCATGACTAGATGTCAAAATCCTTCCTTCCCTCTGTCCCCTGCTGGGGATATCCCACTCTGTTGTGAAAAAAAAAAAAATTAAGTTTCAGGGGAGGTGGTGCGGCAGCGCCACCCCTTGGTGGGCGAAACTATTGGTAAAAGCCGAGTATTTGAAAAATAATTGTGAAATGACCGTAATTAATTAGGCATGTGGCCCCAACTCCCTCTGAGAGATATTCAAAAACTTTGAGAGATGAAACTTTTAAATTAAATACTTTGCAGTTCATCTCTTAAATAGGATAGAAACACGTTGTTTTCAAAACGAGCACAATGTCCTTCCCGTAAATTAAGGGGCACCCTTGCCGGGGTGGAGGTGGGCTGTAGTTGGCTCTTAGCTGCATCTTCACTGGGCTGATGTAGCTATGTTTCCACTTCGGACTTGACTGCTCAGGGTACCCGAAGTCTGCTGGTGGTCTGAGTTTGAGAATAGGAGGAATGTTTTGGTGCGAAAACCCTTAGGAACGAAAGTGCTCTAGTCTCCCCCGGGTCTGTGGTGGCGTGTGCCCGGGTGGTGGGGAGAGGCTTGTGGACCGCAGGTAGCAGCGGTAGGCTGGGCTGCAGCCATGTGGGAGTCAAGGCAGTGTGGCGCGTGCCGGTTTCCTACACTGCGCAACAAGTGGGACCTCAGCGACGCGCGAGGGCTCTGCACAGTGGCCCAGCTGGCCGGCTTCTTTTCGCTCCTTCCAACCCTTCCTGCTTCCCATTTCCAGACCCTCACCTCTCGAAGGACATATTCAGTTCGGTTCCCTTCTTCTGCTTTTGCTCAGTGGGTCAAGGTCTTAACTCCGGCTCCCCCTTCCTCCGTGGGGATGGTTCGTGAGCTTATTCCTGGCCTTTGCCTCTCTCTCTCTCTCTCTCTCTCTCTGTCTTTCTCTCTGTCTTTGTCCCCCCTCCCCCTTCCCTCTCTCTCTCTCCTCTTCTTTCTCTCTCCTTTTGCATGAATTTCTCCTAATACTTTCAGGTATCACTTTTTTTTAAGTGAGTGTAGCCAGCTTTGAGGAGGAGAGGAGGGGAACAAATAACCAAATAATACCCGAAAGCAGTTCCCGGAACGGTGCGGTGTTAGATAGAGGCGTGAGGGCCGGAAGAACAGAGTTGCATCTGCTCAACTAAATGTTTTCCTACTTCAGTTTTGGAAGCATCTCCTCCCCCTCCCCCCTCCCGCCACCCCCAAGAAACAGACAGAAAGCCTCTGGACAGGGCTACTGTGGAAGTCTAGGCTAACAGGGTGTTTCTTGAACGGACCGAGTCCGCCACCTAGTGGTAGGTTATGGTCAGGGTTCCTGCTCGGAGCGGTGGTCTGATCTGATCAGCCAGGACTGATGGGAAGGGCATTCTCCAACGAAGATGGCATTTGACTTTCAAAGTTTTGGCAAGACAGATGAAAACCATATGCTCACGCCGTTCACATCCACACTGGCTCAGTCTTAAATATCTATCTCAACTAAGAAACGGTCCTGTCTTTGAGGACATCTGTGACTTCACGGACAAAGTTGGTAGCAGAACAAGATGACACCCGAAACCCTCCAGGATCTTTAGGATTTAAACTTCGTCGTTGTTTTTGTGGAATTAGGCCGAACAGTAAGTTTCTGAATTCCAAAGGATTTATCTCAGTTCATGGGGGGACAGCAGTTTAACCGTAGGTCACTGGAGTTGCCAGTGCACATTGGAGAGTGTTCCCTACCATTCTTTAGCATGAGGTTTTTGACAATAGACATGAAAAGATTACAGAGGTACCGAGGGTGTGGGGCTTCTCAAAGCTGTAGCACGTGCTTGTACTGGGTGGCCAAGGACTACTTAGTCCAGTTGGGGATGTGCGTCAGTTAGCTGTCTGTCTGTCTTTACATCCCGTTTATCCTTTTCTCGGTGGCCTGGTTGGTGTGTGTGTGTGTGTGTGTGTGTGTATGAGAGAGAGAGAGAGAGAGAGAGAGAGAGAGAGAGAGAGAGAGAG